TTGTATTACTATCTGTGCTAGTTATTCGTGCTAATCTCGCCTATTGGTTATCAAGGTCGCTACCGACCTGCCAATCCTTTCTCTATTTATCATCAAGTGCTCTCACTCACTCTGTCTCAATTTATGAAAGATTTAAGTTGAACCTTAGAATTATGTCATGACATTATTTATATAACTTACCTTATCTATCTATTTACATTCTTATTAATGATTAAACAAGGAGAATTGAGTCTTGTTTAAACTAGTATCCTCGAGAATTCACAGGGATAACAATTTTTTTAAAATTTAAATTCTGATTAAAAAGCAAGCCTAAGGCAAAAACGGAAAGCATTTTTTCGAATTAAATAAATTGTTATTCATTTTTCTCACATATCTGGCCTCAGATTGTTGTATAATAGGAAACAAAAATCTTCTTCAACAGTTTCTTACTCCAACACTGTAGTTCATAATTAAATGAATCCAACTGGTTGAAAAATGTGCATTATTTGGCTTAAAATTTTACCAAAAAATAAACGCTTCAAGCTTCTAAAAAAATTAGAAGCAACAACATAAAATCAGTAGCAATTCAGCAATTTAGGGGGGACGTTCTTTAACTCCCAGACTTGAAACAGACTTGTGATAACCACAGTGAGCCTCAGAAAGAACCTAAAATTGAGATTTAATGAAAAAAATGATAAAAAGTTTTCAAATTTTGAGAAATCTCTCATCTTCATAAACTCAGTTTCAGACATTTGTTGTAAAACAGTGCTTGAAAAAATCATTGTTTCTTTTTTAAACTTTTTCTATATCAAAAATGAAAACAAAATTCAAGATGCATGTATACTATTGGAGAATGTATGAAAACCTTACGATATCCGCGAAGAAGCTAAGATTGTACGAATCTTCATTTGCCAAAAACAAACATGATACGCTGACACAACATATATAAAAAAACTGAAAAAATTTTTATCCTTGTTTATAAAAGAAGACAGGAGTCCATAGTCGCTGTTTTCTTCCTCTTCTTGTTTTGATTGAAAAAAAAATCAGTGTTAAATTATAGCGACAATAAGAAAAAATTGAAACAATCAAAATTTTTAAAATGTTACATCAAAATAGATTGAGGTTTAATGAGTCTTATGTGGTATGAATTGTAATATTTCATGAACCTAGTGGGCCTAAGCTGAACATCGTATCTGGTCACAAGCAGATGCTTTTACTAAAAAGGATGAAAACTATTTCAGATCATTGAAGAAAAAACATCGACCAGCTTTAGCTTTATCTGAGTAATTTAGATTGCGAACCAATTGTTATTGCACTAACAGAAACATGGTTTCAAATGGATTTGAACAGAGAATGCTCCAATTTACGACGTTACCATCATTTAGAAAGTCAAAGAGGAGACACGAGAGGTGGGAGAGGTATCATTTTTGTTTTTAATGGCACTAAATCTCAGCGCATCAGTGGTTATACGTCGATAAGTATTAAGTTTTGATATTTGAAATCACTTAAGAAAACCAGATAAGTTTTTTCAGTGGTTGATTTAAACCAAGGCTTGAAACTGATTGATTAAATGAAGAGCTTGGAAAATAAGTTGGATGGAATGGATGTCGGAGCTAATGATGAACAGACTTTTTTGGAGATTTCAATCTTGACTACTCAACATATCAACCTAACAATGCATGCGAGGATTGTCTGAGTTCTTTTAATTTAAGCAAATTAGTATCAACTCGCCAAACAATTCCTCGCAGAAAAAAAAATAGATGAAGTCTACTCGAGCTGTTATCGGATACATTGAGGCCGTTCAGCAGTAGCTACGTACCTAAAAAAACATGAAGCAAGTTCTCTGATGAATTTTCCAAGAAAAAGAATACAGAGTTTGGAACACGTTAGAAGACAGGAGAAATTGTAAAAAAAGAGTTTTGAAAATTTAATGGAGTTACAAAACCACGAAGAAGAAATTATATATTTAGGTTGAGACTAGTCTTTTCATTTCTTTCATCAGATATTTACAACAATCTTGAACTATTTTTTTCCAACTATAATTATTAACAAAACAAAAATTCTATTCAGAAAAAGAAATTGAAGAAATGGCTAAAAAAAGACAAAAAGGATGCAATTCAGATCACATAAGAAATCCAAATGCAGTACAAAAACTGATTGTCATAAAGAAAATTTTTTTATAAGTTAAATTTGAAAATTAAAGCAAAACTCAAGAGTTTTTTTCAATACTTCAAAAGAATTATGAGGTAAAGCCAAAAAATTGGTTTTAAGTAAGAGGAAACCGAAAATTTCAATAAAATTCTAGCTAATATAGGATATCAATAAGCTGAGAAAGTTAAACAATCTCACAAAAACTCATCAGATTAGAAGAGATTTCCTTGCAGTTTTTGTCTTCGGGAAGCAAGCAAAAAAATAAACATTTTTGAGTTTCCGTAACTTTCATAATAAATAAATTTGTGATAGTTTTTGATCAAAAACTTTTGACAAAAGAAGTATAGAAATGGCAGCAATTAAAACTCTGACAGAATTAATCAAATAACGTTCAAAAAAAAGTGTTTCCACACTTTCCTAAAGAACCATAGTAGAATCAATACATAAAAGTGGAAGGAACCATCAAAAATCTAGATAACCTTAAGCCATTATCTCTTTTACCGGTTTTTTCAGCACAAAAGCTCAATGGATTTCTTAGATAAATATGGTGTTTTTACCAAAAACCAATTCTGGTTCAGACCTAAATTGTCAATAAGAGATGATTTCATAAATTTTAAGGAAGAAAACCGAAATGATTGGGAACTGAACCACATTGTAACACACGCAACTTCCATGGATATAAAACAATCTAAAATTGCGGACTACAAATGCCCATTCAAGCCTTGTTGAAATCATATTTGACAATTAAATCACAAGTTGTGAAAATAGGCTCGAAAAATTTTTTGATTGAAAACTATTCACTGTGAAGCTCGACAGGGGTCTGTATTCGGGCAACTACTGTTAACTTTAATGATAAATGATTGACCATCAATTACAAATTCTTTGAACATATATTTATACGCCGATGATACACCAAAAATAACGCTTCATGAACACCTTGAGGATTGATCGAAAATTTTACTTTGGTTGAAAATCAATAAGCTAGCTCTGAACCTTGACAAAACAATAGCTTTAAATTTTAAAAACAAAAAAATCGTAAAAATATACATTAAAAAAAGAGAACCGATGATGTTAAAAAAAGCCTGCACACTTATTCTTTGGGGATTCACTTGAACGCAAAAATAAAATTCAAATTTCTTATGAACATTTTTTTCTGGATTGTTCTACCAATTATGTGACGTACTAACAACAGCACAACTAATTTTACTAGCTTTCAGCCAATGCTGCAACAAAGTGTACGACATAGCTAGTAAAACATCAGTAGAAAAACTTGAAATGAAACAAAACCAAATTCTGATTTTTTTTTTACAAAACGAAGATATCACTCTGGAACAGATTTTAAAGAAACGTACAAGCTATTCTCTGCGGAAGAATTGCATATAAACGAGCTAATCAAAACTTTAGTAAGCTTTGACGTAAACATACGTAAAAACTGCATTCCAAAAAAATTCGATTTGAGACTCAGACATTGATATATTGAAACCGACATGAGTAAAAAAACAGATCAACGAAAAGTTTTACTACTAAAAATCCTAGATGAAAATCTGTGCAGACTAGAAAATTATTCAATTTTATGATTTTTTTTCAGATTTTGCTGATACAGTCAGCAATTTTAATATTAGCTCTTTCTTTTTTTTTCATGATTTGCGACATTGATACATCGCAATTAATTAAGAAATGATAGATCTTTTTTTGTCTGCAAATTGTAGGTTTGGACAAGTAATATTACGTTACAGTTGAAACTTCATAGCACTTCTGAGAAATTGTACTGCTTAATTAAAGCATCACTTGAAAAGGCCTCTCGGGCTGTTGATGTCCTTGCATATCAGAATTATGTAAGTTGACCAATGAGTATTGAATAATCTCTGATATGAAAACATTTTGTAACGATTTTTATCACCCGAGTCGAGATTTTTCACCTAATTTGAAGCAAGATTTGAGCGGTTTGAGTAGTTTTTTTAGACAATTACGCTCAAAATCTTGCTTCAAAATGAGCGGTTTGAGCGGTTTTTGAACGATTTATCTAAAAAAACCGCTCAAAAACCGCGCAAGATTTGAACGGTTTTGAGCGGTTTATCTAAAAAAAACCGCTCAAAAACCGCTCAAATCTTGCGCGGTTTTTGAGCGGTTTTTTTAGATAAACCGCTCAAAACCGTTCAAAGCTTGCGCGGTTTTTGAGCGGTTTTTTTTAGATAAACCGTTCAAAAACCGCTCAAACCGCTCATTTTGAAGCAAGATTTTGAGCGTAATTGTCTAAAAAAACCGCTCAAACCGCTCAAATCTTGCGCGATTTTTGAGCGGTTTTTTTAGATAAACCGTTCAAAAACCGCTCATTTTGAAGCAAGATTTTGAGCGTAATTGTCTAAAAAAACCGCTCAAACCGTTCAAATCGTGCGCGGTTTTTTTAGATAAACCGTTCAAAAACCGCTCATTTTGAAGCAAGATTTTGAGCGTAATTATCTAAAAAAACCGCTCAAACCTTACATATTTTCCAGTGGTTATTTTGCTCACATTGAAAAAAGTCATTTGAAAAAAGTCGCTCACATTGTTTTTGGTCAAGATATCGAAAAAAGCATTTAAAAAAAGTCGCCCACATTGTTTTTGGTCAAGACATCGAAAAAAATATTGCTTGATTTGAGAACGGTTTGACAGATACATTTTTAAAATAATAATGCATTATTATTTTAAAAATGTATCTGTTGTTTCAAAATTTTGCTTACTAGCGCTCTGAAATCATGTTAATTCAAGTCCACTATGTCAAAATTCAAAACATACTGTTGATAGTACATTGATTGCCCTTCTACCACTTAAGTCATATTGCAGACTTACAGTTCTTCTAAGCAAACTCTGAGCGCGTCGTATGTAGCAAGTTAATTTAATGACAAGCAAATCTTAAGATACGAGTTGCAGAATTCGTCATCTTCACAGTCGAGACTGCTTTCGCATTTGTTAATTTTCGTACATTGAGCGACGCGCAAATCGCAGTAAAAGCCTTTTGGACAATTGAAGTCCCATTTGCATGCAAGAGGCTCGTCTGGGTTTGTTGGCTCCGGCAGCACAGTGTCATCGCCGAAAGGTATACAGATTTTTGAAACCGAGGGACAAAAGTTACCGGGAGGGCAGTCGTGATAAGTTTCACAGTGAACAACTTCAACACACTCTTTAATGTCCAAATTGCACATCAAGTCTTTTGAACAATGATTATCACTGTAGCAGACCAGGCTGGTAGTGGGTTCTTTGGTGGTGTGATCAGCGGGTTCTTCGGTCGTAGTGGGTTCTTCGGTGGTGTGATCAGCGGGTTCTTCAGTCGTAGTGGGTTCTTCGGTCGTCTGATCAGCGGGGTCTTTGGTCGTAGTGGGTTCTTCGGTGGTGTGATCAGCGGGTTCTTCGGTTGTAGTGGGCTCTTCGGTCGTCTGATCAGCGGGTTCTTCAGTCGTAGTGGGTTCTTCGGTGGTGTGATCAGTGGTCTCTTCAGTCGTAGTGGGTTCTTCGGCCGTCTCATCAGCGGGGTCTTCGGTCGTAGTGGGTTCTTCGGTGGTGTGATCAGCGGTTTCTTCAGTCGTGTGAACAGCGGGTTTTGTGGTCGTATGACCAGCGGGTTCTTCGGTCTTAGTGGGTTCTTCGGTTGTCTGATCAGCGCGTTCTTCATTCGTATGATCAGCGGGTTCTTCGGTCGTAGTGGGTTCTTCGGTGGTGTTATCAACGAGCTCTTCAGTCGTGTGATCAGTGGGTTCTTCTGTCGTAGTTACAGTGGCTTCTGCAGTCGGGTGTTCGGTCGGGTATTCAGCGGGCTCGTAAGCCGGGTATTCAGTCGTGTCTGAAGCGGGCTCAGTAGTCGTCGGCTTTGATACTGGCCGGTTCGGAATACCCACCATACAGTGTCCAAAAACATAAGCGCAGAAGTTACCCTTCGGACAGTCTTCGTGTGAATTACATCTTACGATTTGCAGACACTTGTCGACAGCATACTCGCAGTATGTTTCACCTCTGCAATCCCAATCTGAATTGCACCATATAGAGCGATAGCAGTCGGCATTTGAAATTAAAAGTGCAGCGATAGTCAAACACAGTGGCGCAATTTTTCTGACCATTCTTTTTTCTAAACAAGTATCGAATGAATCCATCAGCTGTTATTTTTCAGTCCATTCTCTAAATGTTTTACGATAAGGTTTTCTGAGATAAATTTAGGTATGTCACAAAACGAACAAAATGCAATCCAATGAGAAATGTTTTGTCAAAAAATTCAAAATTGTTGTCGACCACAACTTGATTTTCTGAGCTCTCCCAAATCACTACGAAGACCTTATTTTGACCAAATTTTTCTGCAGTTTCTTAATCAGTTTTTGTCAATTTTAAGAAAATTTTGACTTAAGATTTGCGTTTTTCTGGTGCGCCCTTCCCCCTCAAAACCAGTAAATATTAGCATAAGGATTTTTTTAATTTTAGAGATAATTTGCTTCTAATCTGAAGTTTTGACAACCATTTTCTAAAATGCGCAATTAAAGCTGGAGATGTTTATTCCAAATTTGTCTTTTGACTAGCGATTCGAAAAACAAATCTAGCAGTTATCAGTCAGAAAAAACTTTATTTCTATCTACTTTTTAACTAGAAAGCTACAAAAGTGGCTAGTCCTATTTGAAAAACCGACAAAAACCGACAATAAAAAATGTTTCTGAGATGAAGAAAAATTTGCCTGAACATCAGAAAAATAATCAGCTTTTCTAATATTCATTTTAGAATAAGCCATAAGTTCACAAAACCGCAATTTATTTCTAATTTGAGATGAAGAAACTAGCTTGTAGATCTTGGGCAAAACAAAAACTAAACTTTTTGGTTATTGATGTACGTCTAATTTTGAATATAGTTGTATTTTATTAAGGAAAATCAAAATAAGAAATCGCAGGAAACGTGGCAAAACTTCTGAAATCATTCTAAAAATCAAAAAATCAGGTTTTTGGAAAAAATTCTAAGTTTTTCTGAAAAAAATTCTGAAAAAGTTTTATTTAAATGAAAGAAAGAAGGAACAAAAAAGTCCGAGCCGATATAATTTTTATCATCAAAAACTTACCGTAAAAGCATTCGGAAAAGGCAGGCAAAGGGATCAACAGAACCTCGAAGCGCTAGCTAGCCCTTTAACTTCTGGCAGTTATAACATGATCTTGTTATTTAACAATATTGTGAGAACAAAAGTGTTGCCTTGCTGAGCGGAAGATGAAAAATTTATCCAATGAGATCATCTAAGTAAAAATCCAATAACTTTTGACGGGCGCGGAAAAATTCTAGTGACTGAAAATGATTCTTTTTCCAACCAGCCCCTCATTTTGTGGGAAAGAGGAAAAACTAAAACGTAGAGTTGTGATTTTGCCGCCCAATTTTAACTTCTCGAAGAAAACTGGCAGGGGTAAAATGATGCGTTTACAAAATAAACCCTCGTCGTGATCCGAAGTCCAAAAAAAATTTTAAGGACCTCAGGGTCGTTTAAAAATGTTGAGGCCATAGTATTCTGATTATGTGCTGTTTCTCCAACTGGATACCGGATACCTTTATTTAGCAAGCAGCTTTTGAAAAGTTAACTCTTTCCCATCATGGACAAAATTTTGCAACTAGAGTGAACAGAAAAATAAAATTTTCTTACTTTTGGCTGTTTTGGACTCAAGTAAAGATTTTCAGACAATGACCAAAACATTTTTTATATGTTTCTTTATATGTTTAACCACCATATGTCTAATCAAAGAGGTTTTTGAGTTGCGAAAAGTAGAAAGAAACAATCGAGACAGACAAAAAAGCTTTTTCAAACCATTCAGCTATAATCTTCTAGTCTTCTGTTAAATTTTATTAGCTTTGGAGAAACTACTCGAGCAAAAAAGAATTAATTTGACCCAAAAATATTACAGACTCTAAAAACATCTACAAGAGAAAAAACTTCTGATTACAAAAGTTGTTCAAAATATAGTTGCTCTTAATGATAAAATGGACCAAAAAACACTGAAGTCAAAGCTTCTGGTTTTTTTTTCTCAATTTAAAGTAGATGGAAACTTCATTTTAATTGATTATATATAGAAAAAGTTTTGCAGACAAAAGTATATATATGATAAAGGCACCGCGACCTGTAAATTATAAAAAACTAGTCTTGCTTCACTTGTCAGTTATTGAATAGAAAACTTGAAGGGATGAGTTGAAACTGTTGGGAAAACGCTTCTCTTATAATATCTTTTTCTTCCCTTGTTTTAATGCTATCTGATTTTTCTTACAGAAGAGATGTATCAAAGTATTTTAAAAATACCCTCTCCAGACATTTAGTCAATTTTAGTCACCAAAATGAACTTTTAAAGTGAATATCTGGCAATGGATTCTACGCTGAGTGGTGGATTTCTCGAAAGCGTATGGATGCTGTGTTCACTTCTGGGTAGCGGTGGCACTTGAATCTTCACTTCTCAATCTTGAGGTTGGATGTACGAGGCCCGCCGTTATCCGTGCTCGTTGTTTGAGGAAAGATATCATGCTCAAAAAATTAGCCAAAACATGCATGTTAATGTTAAGCAGGGGTGCATATTGGCCCTTTCCCTTCTTGATGAATCGTCTCAACTAAAATTTACGGTTTTTTCACCATTCTTATTCGTTGAGTGGTAATATTTGTGCTTGTTGTTTTTTTGCTTGATATATCATGTTAAAATTCTTTTGGCCGTGATTCGAACGACATTTGAAAGTTTTTTTTCAGCGTCGAGAAAAACCAATTTGAAAATTTTGATTTTTTTTGAACTTTAATCGCAATGAAATCAAACATTTCAAACTGGTTTTTCTGGACACTAATTTTTTTTAAATTTTAATGTTGTTCAAACTACGGCCAAAAATACGGCTTTAATGGGCTATATCACTCAAAGCATTCCAATGAGTATTTGTGGTACCTGGTTTTGCTTGGAAAACATATAAAGAAAAAAAGTTCCTACGCATTGTTCAGATGGTCAGAAAAAAGCAATATATCTTACCACTCACAGAATGCTCCGACACTAGTCTTAGAAAATACAAAAAATTTTCGACGTGCTTTTGGTTTCGCAAATAGTGATAGGATAGCATCGATGTTTTGTTTTTTGATTTGTTTTGTGTCCTTTTTTTGCTTTTTTGCGGTGTGTGATTAATAAATCTAAGCGAAAAAAAAAGAACTTAGGCAAATTCGATATTCATAGTAAAATAGGCCAATTGGAAAACAGTTTTTCTAGAAAAATGACTAGAAAAACTCAAAACAAAATCATTAAAATAATTTTATCGAATAAAGGTTTTCCAATTGCCCTATTTTATTATTAATGTAGAATATGCCTAAGTTCTATTTTTTTCTTCAGATTTTTCTATCACTAAACGCAGAAAAAATACACTAACTTGAATTTTTTTTTGTATTTGTAACACTGTGGTCGGAACATTCTGTGCTACTTGCACAGTAACCGGCTATCTTTGTTTAACATTTGCAGGCTATTTAAGCAAACTTTTTAGTATTAACATTTACTTAGCATAGAAATTTTACATTAACATTCATCATCAATTTTACTATTTAAAAGTTACGCTTTGCGATTTGGCGTCATACAAGTTTGCAATCTCTGTATTGTTTTCACTGGATCACTTATTACTTCAGGTTTAACATCGATACCCATTGCCTTCTGATTGTCAATTGTTTTCATTCTATTGCACATTTCGCAGATAGATTCAATTTTTGCAGGATCGATACGCTTTTGGTTTCGCCAATGGTGATAGGATAGCATCGCTGTTTTGTTTTTTGATAAGTCTTCGATATATTTCGCTAAACTAGCAGGAGAGCTAAAATCCGAAACATGAATAAATGACCCTGGTAAGTTTTTCTCGTAAGTTGCGCGCCAACCGTTGACGATTGGTATTGCTCCACCACTCAGCGCATTGACAAACTTCTCTGTTACGTAATCTTCGCATACAGAGTTTTCGAATGCGAAATAAAACTTGCAATCTTTCATTTTGTTTTGTTGCGGAGAATAAATATCTTCTTTTCTTTCATCAATGGTTCCGTGACTTTTAACCTTTTTCTTCCAAGTCGAGCCGCTTAAACAGTCGCCGATGGCATCGCCCCAAATATGGAAAGAACCCCCAAAATGTCGAATAAATTCGGTGGCATATTCAATTCTGCGGGAGAAATCTGTAAAACAATTGCTGAATATCCAGCAAACATCTTTTCTCCTCGACTTGAGTCCTGAAATGAGTTGTTTGGATTGTTTTCTTGTCTCTTTTGTGGACTCCCGGATGTACCAAAAAGGCCGATAAATTGTGGCGCGAGGCGATGCAAAAACTGTCCAGTTGAATGCATTCTAAAAATTAGGAGCAAATAGAAAAATTATCAGCAACAAGACTGTTCTTATCAGGGCGCAGCGCTCAAAATTTTGACTACCTTGTTACGTTTTTGTCAAGGTTTTTGATTAAAACAATTGTTACTGTTTGGAAAAAAAATTACAAGTTTGAAGTGAATGAAAAAAGTCTTTATTTATCCCCAATGTAGTTTGTTTGAAGTGAATGAAAAACGTCTTTTTTTAAAGTACGCCATGTACGCCCAATGTAAAGTACGCTATGTAAAGTACAAAATGATATATTTTGCATCTCATAACGTAATCATAAGAACAAGTCGCTCACCTCAGTTCACTTTGGACTGATTGAATTTGCCGCTCAGGCTTTAGTAGGATAAACATACCTTTTGGGATCCCAAGTTGAATTACGACAGTCAATGCCAAGTTGAAACCCCCATAACTATGAAAATTATTAGTACAGATTGAATATCTGTTTCAAATTGAGCCTTGAGCATCAGTATATTTCAGACTGATTTTGATGTCAAGATTTGCTTTTTAAAAATATTTTGTCTATTTCTTCAAAAATTGAGGCAATAAGGAGAAGAATAATGGTTGTGGTTTTTTGACCAACGGGTGTGATCGAAAAATGGTAATTCTAAGTTTTGCAGACCGAGCAGATGGGATGCGTCCACGACCGCCGCGATCGATAGAAAGTTAACCGAGACCAGAACGTATGAAAGAACGTTAAGAGCGACGAAAAAAAACTTTAACCGCGACCAGCGCGACCGAAGAAAACTTAAATTAAGATTAAGACCATTTATCCACGGGGAAAGGACCAACGCAAGAGCTGTACAGCTCATCACGGCGAACCGTTGTTGTGCCCCTGTTTTAGTACTACATGCAATTTTTTGGTTATTTTTCTGGGGTGGGTAATGTTGCTTCACCCTCAAGCAACTACCTGTGCGACGTTCGCGACTGTTGCATTTGTATTTGCAACGACTTTTAAGTGTTTTGTTTATGCAAGCAATTTTTAATTTCTAGATCTACAACCAAGCAACAAGGTTTCATTGTAACAAAAATGCGCTTCTCAAAAATCATCTTTGGTTATATTATCTTCTCTTTTATTTGAGTTTTGATATGAACAACTATTTTGATATCAAACCCTAGTAAGCTAATATTTTTACCTCCAGTTATCAGTTATCTGACTTGTGTTTAATATCATAGTTTGCAACACAGCGACTTATTTTATCAAAATCACTACTAATTTTGAGAAAATGTTGCGTCGAATTTTATGACAATGTCGCTACCAGTTTTTGAATAATGTGGAGACAAAATTATAGACTAGCGCGACTAATTTCCAGCCCATCGCGACAAAATAAGGTGTTTCCAGATTTTGTGCGCGACTATGAAACCCTGTCCAGGCTCTGCAGTTTCTGTCGCAGAAAGTAAAAAAAAATAGTCGCGTACCTCGACCCGCGTATCCCGTGTAAAAATTTTGAAGTAGAAAATAAGTCCGCTGAAAAAATTTGACACCCAGAGATCAAATTTTAAAGTCTTTTAGGTGTAAGTGTTATTTTTTTGAAGTTATGGAGGTGCGAATTTAAGACTAGATAGGCCAATTTGGGATGATTGTAGTGTGAATTTTACTATCGTTCATAAGCAAGAATCCAGCTCCAAATTTACTCCAATTGAGGTCCGTCAACTGATCGAAATAATCTAAGACCATTTATCCACGGGGGAAAGGACCAACACAAGAGCTGTACAGCTCATCACGGCGAACCGCTGTTGTGCCCCTGTTTAAGAACTACATGCATTTTTTTTGGTTATTTTTGTCTGTAATGAATTAATAGACGAGATTTATTGGGTGTGAGGGGAGGTTATAAAACATAAGTTTCAGTTTGTTTCATTTGTTTTTTTTCCATTATCGAGTTTTGAAAACCGATACATCTTTTAAAGGACAATAGGAACATTCAGGGCTTCTGAGAGACGTTCATCCACATAAAATATGAATTCAAAATGGATTTTTCTGGGTTGGGTCCGGCTTTTGGACCGGCATAATTGGGATCCTGATTAATTTTAAATAACTTTTTATGAGATGTAACAAAATTTGATTGTAGAATTGGTGATTCTACTGTATTACATGCTATAGTAACCTGAGCGTAAGATTGATTCGTCATTAAGTTAGGCAGTAGAGCAAACAAAGGGTAAAGTTCGAAATAGTTCAATCTTCGAAGATATCGTCCCTCCTATTCCAGAAAAAAAATTTGACAAAATCGGCGAACCCCCCACCAAATCGGAACTAAGAAAGCTAATGTTATGAAATTCAGAGGAGCGATACTAGAGATGATTTGACCCGGGCACACAAAAAACGGGACACCTCAGACCCTTGGGAGGCAGGTGATAACGTTCCCCGGAAGTGTAAATGGCCCTATCAGAACTCGGAAACTAGCAGTGCTTTTGGGCTCAAATTCTAGTATGTTGTAGGCCTAGTTAAGGGGAGCTTAAGTGTGGAAACCCAGACCCCTCAGAAGACCCCCACTTCCGGTTTCATGCCCTAAGTAAACAAACCCACCCGTAACTTCCGGAAGTCGTTTCTCGCTCACCGATGAGCACAGGGAGCTGAAACTTGGAGGGATGATAGGTAGTGGCAAGATACATCTTGTATTATAAATTGAGCCAAATCCAGCGGTTGAACCGGAAGTAATTTATTAGCACTTTGAAAAACCACCCCTTAAACCGGAAGTAGGCAATTTACGCGAAATAATGAGCAAGGGCATACTGTTTTTATGACGGAATTAGATACTACAACTCATCCCCGAAAAAAACCCTAAATGAGCGAAAACCCTCTGGCGACTCCTTCCGGTGTTAATAGTATCTTTCCGGAAAAAGTGATAATGGACCTTAGAAATGGGATAACTTGTGAAGTATTAACGGGATAGGAATGAAACTTGGTAGTTAGGACCCCCATGGGAGTCTGAACCCAAATATGGAATTTTGACCACGGTTGACCCCTGGGTGACCTTAAGTTGACCTTTGGGCTTTTGACCCCAAAATTGAATGGAAAACCCCATTATTAAAACCGGAAAGTGGCGTATTCCCCAATGGGAATGGGTTTTCCCGGAATGGGTCATCTTGCTAAAATTTGGGGGAAAACTTATATATTGGGAACTAGAGCAGAAGCTGATAGAGATACAGTCTTATATTGCAACCTTGGAGTAGCGGATTTAATTCAAAATGGACATGGTAAATATTGGGTTCATTTTAGCTTGGCGAATGATCTGTTAATAGCAATTCAACTAGACTAAAGAAAAGTAGTCCCAGAGGAAATTGATAGTAATAGGACCGTAGCATGAGAATTAAGTCTTCTAAAAAATATGAACAGACGGGGAATTTACTTGGCTTCTCGGTAGTGACTTTCTGGTTTAAGTTGACCCCTAAAAGACGAACTACCCTACCCTGATAGCTCGAAGGTCGGGATTGGAATCGAGTTCAGGTCAAAATTTTAGATGCTTGGAATGAATTAGCTACCCATGGAAAGGGCATCCTCCTACCCTTGGATGGTGGGAACGTTAACGGGATAACTAAAATAAAGACCTTGGGAGAATCATTGGGTAAAAATAGCAGATGTTACTTGAACTTGAACTCGAGAGCTGAAGTTCACAGAGTTCAAGAATTGGTTGATTAAAATTGTATGACATTTTTTTGATCGGTCAAAATGTGACAACTACCGCATTTCGGGTATCTAATAAGTGTGAAAAGATTGATAAAAGAAACCGAAGTTGGCACGCGGCAGAGTTGACAGGAGGAGGGATATAGTCTGAAAACATGTGCGGACGGGTGATTTAGGCGGATATCAGGACTGATAGGGAATGGCGTGACTTATCTAAAATTAAGTGTAAAGAAAGATAAGGAAATGGAGGGTACCGGAGAGCCTGCAAGAGTCAGAAGAATTATTGCGAGCGAATCGAATAGTTGGTTCTCAGTCAGTGAGAGAACAATTTGGGCTACAAGCTAACGTAGTCGCTTGATTCTCAAGGTAAAGTGAGAACGAGTTGAAAGACTTGTTAATGTGAAGGTAGATTAGTTAGTGAATGTTAGTTAGGCTATCTAGAGGATAGCGAAATCGTTGTTGAACGATTGATATTGAAAGAAGTTCTCGAGGAGAACGTTAGTTAGTAGTGAGGTGTTAATTGAAGTGCAGGAGCAGTTGGTTTAAATAAAAGTAACCGCGAACCCCTTTCTTTAATTGAATGATTAATTTATATTTTAGCCAATAATAGGCTACTCTGTATTTGGTTATATTCATTTCTTATTTCATTCTTATTATTGGAATTGTTGTTGCAATCGATTATTGATTGACGGGTGAGATACAGTCGGAAGAGCACGAATCACGGGGCGAGCAGCACAGTACAGTACAGAGCTGCCAACCACCAAATCAGCCCTTTTGGGATTGTGGACTGTACTGAGAATCGGTTGCCCCACTGACCTCAGTACCAAAGGGAACATACTGCGACGGTGTGAAATAGCGAGCAAGACCGACCTAGAGATATTGTGAACTCCCCCACGTTTACAGTGGCACTCCTGGGTGGGCGCTATTCTGGATTGTAGCTGCAATGACGATTTGTGCGGGATTACGAAGACGAGAAGAATGAACGAACGACCAACGAAACAATTGCGATGGCGATGAACAATCAATACAGACAGCTGATAGCAGACGCTGCAGTGGCAGCGGCCAATGCTCTCGATCGACAACAGGGAGTGTTCGGATTTGGTACAATACGACCAGATCTGTTTCCCTCGAGCACTTATCAGAACTGGCGAGACTGGAGTAAACACTTTGCCTGGATAGCAGACGCCAATCGATGGGACGATGAGCAGGCCAGGATGGTGCTGCCGACGTGTCTGACAGGCTGGACATTGGATGAGTTCACGAGTATGCCAGCTCACTTTCGAGAGCACGTTCACGGGTTCGAGGAGTCGACGCTAGGCAGAATGCTCGCGGAACTCGATCAGAGGATGATGCCATTTCAGACACGATCAGCTGCGAGGGCTGAATTTAGGAACCTCATGCTGGAGGAAGGCGAGGGCTTGACGGATTTTGCAAGACGAGTGCGATCCTTGGGTGAAGTTGCAAATACAAACCTGGGAGCTCAAGCACGAGGCGAAATGAACAGCGAACAGTTCACTGATGGATTGTGTGATTTCGAGCTTCAAGAATTGCTTCTCCGAAAAAATCTCGAGAATTTCAACCAGGTGGTGGCCCGAGCACAGGCTCTAGATATGGCACGCAAAACAGTCAGGATGAAGAGTCGGAGACTGCCAAATCACGTTCAATCGGTGCACGATGTTCAAGACCTGACGACTGAGGCTGGCGGAGACAGTACGCTGACTACCGAGACTCAACAGATACGGACGGAGCTGACGAGATTGCAGACGGATACTGACCAGAGGCTGGACCAAATGATGAAGGCTCAGAACAACCTGGCGAAGCGGATAGATGTCCGGAGTTCGAGGTATGATGAGGTGAGATTGCAGATGCAGATGCAGGAATCACGCCAGAACGATCTGGGGGCTCAAATGATGGCCCAGATGCAAACTTAACTACAATTATAGATAGGTTCGTTGATCCTTGTAATCCCAAGCCAGAGAGTCACACCCGACGGGGAGAGAATCAGCAACGCAACTTTGCGAACCCAAATGGGCGACAGAGTGGAAACAACCCATGGACCCAGAGTGGTTGTTTTAGTTGTAGACAGTTGGACCACATTGCAAAAGGATGTCCCCAAAAAAGCGCGAGTCATTTAAACTACCAAGGGCCGGGATAGTAGGCGAGTTCGAAGGAGGATTTGTCCCGGCCGAAGTTAAGAAACAGCAGGCGAAAAGGCGAACACAAGCTTCTGGAACTCAGTCTTGCCAGCATTACAATACGAATGCAAATAATGATGGAGAAGGGGAGAGCGAGAAGATATTGGAGCAGGAACAAGTACTATCGCTATTGGAGCGACTACCAAGGATCAGAGAGAGCGAGCCAAAGTTGGAAACGAAACGAAGTTTGCGGACGCGCATCGAGCGTGTTGGGATCAGTCATGATGTCAGCGATCCATGCGGAGCAGTCGTTAATGCTTGCGTAGGCGGAACCCATTTTGAGGTGCTGCTTGATACCGGAGCCACCACCGACCTCATAAGGACAGATATTGCGCGGAGAATGGTTGACGCACCGACCATGGAACGCTATGTAGGTCGACTGGAGACAGCAGACGGACAAATAATGGCGGTCGACGGAAATGTCAGAACTCGCTTCAAGTTGGGCGACATTGCCGAAGAAATCGAAGCGCTTGTCGTCCCGAAACTGAAAGCCGAGATGGTCCTAGGACTACGACCGATGAAAGAGTATCAGTGCTCATTGGTGTTCAGTCGCGGAGAAGTTTTCTTGTGGACGGGGACGAGAGAAGGTTCAATGGTACCCATACGGCACTTGACTCATAGGCCTTCTCCGGAACGGATGCCCTCTCTGCCACATGAACGGGGCGGACAGATTAAAGGAAATCATATTCCAAGATCAGACATGCGGACGAGCTGATTGCGAAGATAATAGCGGCAGTGGAGTCTCCCGACAAAATCTTGGAAGGGTGGCTGACGAGTTATGACGATCACAGCATAAATGTGGTTCAAGAAACGAAAGTGGAGGAATACGAAAAGTACGGGTGCCCAAAGCCTGCTTCATTAGCTGAAGCTTTGAGACGAACTCATGGAGGAGGCCGAGCAGAGAGAGTTGCAGTGGTTCCAGAGACAGAGGTGGACGAAGTAATCGACAGCGACGCGATTCGATGGGAACGAACGCAGGAAGAGATTGCGACAATGCAGGAAGAAGACGAAGCGATTGCGCGAGTATTCTACTGGGCAGGAACAGCAGACGAGATGAGCGATATGCCTAAATTGGGATCGAAACTTAATCCGAAGGAGCATGCAATTCAGTACGGACCTGAGGCATTGGCGTACTGGTCGAGGTGGGATGAGTTGAGTATTCGGGGAGGAATACTTTACAAGAAATGGTTCCAGAGAGATGGGTCAAAGCCGACACTTTTGACGGTTGTTCCAGCAGCAGGGCGAAAGGAGATCCTCGGACAGTTTGATTCAATGGAGACCAGAGGAGGACAGCTTGCAACCGAGAAAACGTTGGCGAAGTTACGACAAAGATATTGGTGGCCGACGATGAGGACGGATGTCGAAAGAAAAGTCTAGTGGTGGTTAAGCCAAGCAGCACAGAGTGCCAGTGGGATAAAGGAAGCGAGCTGCGGTTCAGGCCTCATTTGATCCCGGAATCAGATTTAGTACGATGGCAGTGGACATATTGGGTCCAATGATGATGGCGACGCGGACAAGAGCGAAGCATGTATTGGTGATGACGGACATCCCTCGGATTGCAGTCCCTCTTGTATCAACAGATGCATCAGACGTGGCTCAAGCAAATGCAGAACCTTGGGTACTGAGGTTTGGAACTCTCAATGCTTTGCGTACGGACCATGGAAAAGTCTGTGGCAGTAAACTGATCAAGGAGATGTGCCGACTCTTGGGAATTGATGTAACCCCGACTTTGCCATACAAACCGGAACGTGATTTCAAAGTACTGTGCGGAGAACCCAAAGACGTGGGATACGATGTTGCCGTATTTGAGTTTTTTGTACAACATGACTATTCATCGGACGACGGGAGCGATGCCATTCAGTCTGTTTCATGGTCAGGAATGCCAGTACTCCATTGAGCTGTTCTACGCGAAACCTCACCACGAAGTGCTGACGAAGGATGGTTTTGCAGAGGAACTAGATGAGCTCTTCCGAGATGCTCATAGCAGTGCCAGAGAAATCCTTGGGACGGATCAACGACGACAGAAGGATCAGTACTGGAAGAAAGTTCATGGAGAACCATACGCAGCTGGAGATAAAGTCTGGGTGTGGGCAAAGGAAAATTTCAAGTCGAGGAACCACTTTGATCCATGGGAAGGACATTATGTTGTACTGGCGAGAATGTCTGAAGTGAGCTACAAGATGGCACAGGAGTCAACTCCTAGCAAAGTCAAATTCTTGCACTTCAACATGCTGAAGCGATTCAAAGAAGAGACGGCACAGTCAGATGAGGCTAGTAGCAGCAAGCGACCGAAACCCTACGGGTACCTTCGATGACCGAAACCTCCGATACCTTCGATGACCCGGAGATGTATGATGAAGATGAGTTGTTGTGGACGAACAACAGGGAGGGTTTTAGTCATGATCCAGGCCCACGAGATGTAACAGTGAGATTGTTCCCTGTGAGAAATCGAGCAGTCGAGCAATAATTTAATCCGCCCGGAAGAAATGTGCGAATTCGGTCGATGCCCGAACACTTCGCTGATCCACCACGAATGATACGAGAAGTATCTAGGAGGGAAGAAGATGCGATTGAGGCATACGATGCGACGGAGCTGGAGGCCAGAAGGGAGGAGGAGCCAGCGAATCTACCCTGTGAGGCGGAAGACAGACCACCTGGCGAGGTGATGTCTGCCGAACCGGTGATGGAAGTTGGAACTGCAGATGATGGCTGTCGACTAACTCGAGTAAGGAGACCACCTGTACGGTTTGGAATGGACAAATTTGTGAGTTAAAACTTACATTAGTAAACTGTATCTTTTTATCTCATCAGTTGGTGCTTAGTTACATTGTGTGCGATCCCACCTGAACTGTTGTGCAGACAATTGATAGTGATGATTATGAATGTGAAAGGGTTGGACCGTATCATGAAGCGTAAATTTAATTCAGTTACGTCCCCTCTCAGGTTACTCTTTGTGCTAACGGGGACTAACTGTTGGGTCCGCAATATTTTAAGGGTAAAATATTAAAGGGAGGGAAAACGAAGCAAAGCAAAAAGTAGGGAGCACGGCGAAGCAAAAAGTTATGTAACTGATCATTAGGCCTTGTTAGGAGTTACTTTTTCGTTATTCGGGAGAAATAATAGACTAGAAGGGAAGACCGGCATAATTGGACCGGCGTTTTAGACCGGCATAATTGGGATCCTGATTATTTTTAAATAACTTTTTATGAGATGTATTAAAATTGGACCGGCCTTTTGGACCGGCATAATTGGGATCCTGATTAATTTTAAATAACTTTTCATGAGATGTAACAAAATTTGATGAATGAGAAAAAAAAGGTTGAAGTAGGCGGGACAGCAAATAATATAGTGGGGGGGAGTGAACCGTGCAATTATTCGGCCTACCTGATATTCTTTTTCAGCCCCTAACAAGTATGGTGTCGGTCTTTGTGAAGATTCAACTCCAAAATAGGCCCACAGTTGATCTTTGCTTCGCCATTTTGAATAATCTTTTTCTCGAATAAACTGAAGCATTGTTCGCATTCCTCTATTTTCTCCAATTACAATCAAGTCGTACCGAGACAGTTTTTTCGCGTTCTTCAACAGTTGCGAGGAGGAGAATTGACAATTGAAGTCCAAATTACATGTAGATCGGGCATTTCCATTGAAATACATGTCCAGCATTCCATTCGAATAGTCCTTTTTGGGAATCAGCAGAACCTTCTTGTCCTTAGTATGAATAAGCTCTAAGGTGCTGAAACAATTACAAGACTGTATGTTTCAGGCCGCATGTAAGTGATGTAGTTTTTAGCAACAAAAAAGTGAAACTTTCATTTTTTAAGTTTGAATTTTTGTGCATTCAAAAAATTATCCTCAAGCTGTTTTACAAGTGAAAAATTAAAAATTAAGTTTTATAATTGCTTTGAAAAAGCGACTCCTCTCACGGCAAGTTTTTTAAAGTCTTCGGCTGTCATAATAGGATTTCTATAAGAAATGACACACGGACTATATGGCTATTCCAAACTGTTTTTAGCTTACCCTGTAAAGCTACTCGTTATACCAAAAAGTGGATGCAAAAAGTAGATGCAACATTCATTGGATTTATATTCGATTGTTTGAGAAAAATAAATGATTCAATTTTGAAAATAATGGTTTATAATCTATTTTTTTTGTACTAAAACTGATTTTTTTTCGAAACGAATTGGTTATGATAGCAATTTATTCAATTTCGTGGTTTAAATTATTGTCCGTAATCGATTATTTTTGCTTCTGAAATCGGCAATTTAGCATTATTGATTAATGTCCAATATACTAAGGTGAGTAATAGTAACAGACAAAAAGTCACAATTCGCGCTATTAACGCGTAAGCGGAGATGTAATCCGTCTTATATATTGTTCCAAATTGGTTGAACGAAGCTTATTTGCTATAATTGATTTGTTACAAGTATCGAAATCTATCTTTTTGTACTTAATATGGCGTGTGGGGTGATGATTTTTATAAAAAAATTTCAAATTAAAAAAAAAATTTTCATTATTTTATTTCATTGAATTTTTTATGTTATTACTACCGCTCCATAAACCTTAAAAGGCAGTCTTTGCCCTGATTCGAGCAGTCTTGTTTTCAATTTCTATTCGTTTTTCTGTAAAATGACGTAAAATGAAAAACTGTCGCAATGGTTTCAAGGTTAAAAGCTATATGAAAAGCGATCAAGTCTTTGAAAATTTCCTATTTTATAATTATTTTCTAGTTTTTTTTGCTCAGAGGAAGTACATCAATCTGTTCCGACTGCGTATTAAGGTTTATGGAGCAGTAATAACATTCAAAAATTAAAAGTAATAAAACAAAATGAAAATTTTTTTTTAATTTGAAATTTTTAATGAAAATCATCCCCCCACACGCCATTCAAAGTTAAAAAGGATAGATTTCGCTACTAACAACAAATTAATTATGGCAAATAAGCTTCGGTAAACCAATTTGGAACGATTTCTAAGATGGATTAAATCTCCTCTTACGCGTTAATATATAGCGAGTTAATTGTCCCATAAGCGGAGGGTTAATCCATCTTAGAAATCGTTCCAAATTGGTTTACCGAAGCTTATTTGCCATAATTAATTTGTTATTAGTAGCGAAATCTATCCTTTTGTACTTTAAATGGCGTGTGGGGGGATGATTTTCATTAAAAATTTCAAACTTAAAAAAAATTTCATTTTGTTTTATTACTTTTAATTTTTGAATGTTATTACTGCTCCATTAACCTTAATACGCAGTCGGGACAGAATGATCTACTTCCTCTGAGCAAAAAAAACTATAAAATAATTATAAAATAGGAAATTTTCAAAGACTTGATTGCTTTTCATATAGCTTTTAACCTTGAAACCATTGCGACAGTTTTTCATTTTACGTCATTTTACAGAAAAATGAATCGAAATTGAAAACAAGACTGCTCGTATCAGGGTAAAACCATGAATGTTCCGACTGCCTTTTAAGGTTTATGGAGCAGCAGTAGTAACATAAAAAAATAAAATAAAATAAAATACAAAGAAATTTTTTTTCTAAAATTTGAAATTTTTAATGAAAATCATCACCCCACACGCCATATAAAAACAAAAAGAGAGATTTCGTTTCTTGTAACAAATCGATTATGGCAAATACGCTTCGTTCAACCAATTTAGAACGAATTATAGGACAGATTTGATCTCCGCTTGCTTGTTAATAGCGCGAATTATATCGCTCGTTAATTGTCCCAAATTGGTCAAAATGGCAATCTTTAAACCCTCATAACCTTACGAAAAATGATCACAGGTGAAATATTTTTTCAAATTTAAGCTCAGGACAACAATACCTCTTGATTGATATAAAAATTTCCGTCAAAAATGGCTAGTTAAAAAGTCGAAATTTGTCTGAAGAAAAAAAACCCACCCCGAGCACAAATATTCCGTTACTTTCGTATCAAAAGTCGGAACAATAAGATAAGAAACAGCATATGAACTCTATATAAATTTGAGTAGGAATACCTACACCGAGATTCAAAGCGCGTATCAAAAACGATCATTCATTCAACAGAAAAATTTTTGAAGACTAAACTGGGGGTTATGAATTGAAAGACCAGTAAATATTTAAATGGCTCCGAGCAAATTCTTCGTTGTATCAAAATTCGGAACAATATGATCAGCATAGCATAACTTACATATTTGCAGGGGAGATGTCGGCGCTTTGTGACAAACCTCGACAACAAATGAAGAGAAACTCTGATTAATAAACAATGCACTTAATTACAAAAAAACCTAAGAAACTCCGCTCAAAACTTTGATCAAATATCAAGTTAAATCATTTTATTTATTTGGCAATGTAAAATGGCAATAAGCCGCTAAAAATACCACGAAGTTATTTGAAACTTTTTTTTGCTGAAACAAGTTTAATCTTGTATCTTGAATAAACAATAAGTTTAATTTGCAAGAAATCAGAGCTTCACACACTTTTTATGATGGTAACACTCAAAAAGCAGGTTAGTAAAATAATGAATATCCAAATCTTTCCAGATTTCGGCAAGTGAAATCGAAGAAAAACTGTTTGAAAAAAAGTTAAGCAATTAGTCATTTTTGGTAATATCAGTTTTGCTTTTTTTTAAAAAAATGTTCAATGATTAACCAAACACATACAGCAACTAAAACGATGACTTTTGCGTCTGCATGCAAAACTAAATAAAACATGAAAAACTTTAAGTATATCTGAGAAACCACTTGCGTGGTTGTTTTATATTTTGTCCGCGTAATTGGTTTTGAAGGATTGATATTTTTTAATGGTTGCTTCAGGTATCAAAAATATGAATCAGAAAGAACATTTGAGCAAAACAAGTTCCAGTAGAAGAAGTTCTTGTGCAACGAAATTCTAGGCGATATGATTTGAAAACACTTCCAGAAAATGTATTTCTACGACGTCGAGTTGGGTAATTTTCAACGGCTTCCGCACTAGACTGAGAACTTATGTAGTGGAAGCCGCAATACAACTATCGTTCTGTGTTCTTTTTGTTGTTAAGGAATCTACAAGAAATGGATGAGCTATTCTTTCGCTCACTTTTTAAGCAGCAATTTGCGGAATCTAGAACTCAGTTGCGAAAGCCAGAACAATTTGTGAAATCCATGCGCAAAGATTTATCCAAACTAAATCCGCAAATTGTGGGCGGAATTCAAAAATTGTTAGGAAAATCCGCAAGTTTTCGCGCAATCTACTCACATTTGCGGAATCCACTTACAAAAGCAGATTTAGCCACAATTTGCTATATTTGCTAATTACGGTTTCCGCAAAACAACTTAAATGCCAAAAATAGGGGGTGTAAACATAGGGGGTTAAATATCGTGAAGTTAAAGAGTGGGACCCCAGGAACCTTAAATACTTCTATTCCACGAGCGCTTTTTCATTACTGGAACCTGATCTAAACTACATTTTATGATTGGATAAATTAGATATTTTACCACTGTAAAGTATTTAATATTAACCAATCATGATCCATCTAACTAACAACCCACTTATTTGTAAGTGCTGAAATTACTTGTAATTTCAGCACCAGAGAGATTTGAATTTAACTTAGAAATTAGTTGCCTCTCCAAGAGAACTTCAGCAGCCGCAATAAACCAGTATACCCTAGATCTATTGAGCCTAGCAGAGACTAGTTAAACAACCTGAGACTAGATAGTATAAGAGTAAGATTAGGATCGGTATTAGACTAAGAAGTTGCACGAATCTATCCGGCCGAAAATAAGATGACGAGCAGACGGTGTACCCTATCCGAAATTACTCTATGAGTTAACCACCTCGGTCATAACTCATCTGGTGCGACCATAAGTCTCGAACAAGACCTTAATAGCTTAGAATTAACCAAAAATAGATTAGAATTTAGACAAAACATTTTTAAAATGTTATACGACGATAATTTAATCGAAATGTCTCTACGACTCAATAGATCAGAGCCAATATTCCGAACGATAACAGAACTACCCGGAATTGCAAGAAGACCTCGAACCAGAGACGACATACGGCAAACTAGAAACTTACCAAATAGTTATATGATAGTACGGCAAAAGCCAACACAAACTTTTATATTTAGAATTTTATTAGCAATGAATTTAGATTTTCATTTGCAAACATAAAATTTTGAAGTCAATCTTGATAATCATTTCAGGCGCTAAACAGAACTATTAATATACAATAACGATTGATAAAAAGATCTCAGATCGTTTTCCTCAAAATTCTGCAGTATTATATAAAACATGTTTGGAAAATATTTATTGAAAATCAAAACAAAAATTAGTAGCATGACAATAAACTGTTAGTAATCATAAAATCATCCAGTTGTCCCAGCTTCATCACCTAAACATAACAGCATTCATAAGCTCACTAATATCATTAAAAAACTAAATCTTTTCTTAAACAAATTTAAACCATTTTAAACTTAAATTCACTTCATTTTAAAATCAGATCATCAAGGCTTATCCTCGGATCTAAATTCATTTTCTATTTAATTAAAATTGTAAAACTTGATCATCAAGGCCTATCCTTGGATCACACAGAACAGTTTTGTTCTCCCCCACCCACTTAGCTAGTGTCTAACGACCTCAAACGTCGATTCACTATCAACCCTTTCAAAAAACCCAAGACTAATAGAAATTTTTGAACAAAACTAATCATTCAAATTAGGATAAACAGTGAAGAACTTCGGTTATTCATCCTTCACTTGAACCCTCCTCTTATCAAGACCCAGGATAAATCTTAGACTTAGTAAGTCTAAAATAGTATCTAACGAACTACTCGCGTTCTAATTATACCTGAACCTTGTGGATCGATTTACTATTCTCCAACCCTTGAACACAATCACTACCCCTAAATAAGATTAAGTAAGTTAACACCTTAGCTTATACTAGCCACGAGAAAGTAAAAAATCATTCTTCGGAATCGATATACTTTTCTCTCCAACCCTGAAAAAAAAGACCCAGGTTAAGCTAACCAAAAAATCGTAAGGACTAACAGGTTAAAAAAATAGAAATCATCTAATAACTTTTTGCATCCGTCATCCTAAACCTTATGTCATTTGAAAATCTAGGAAACAAACAAACAATCGTTTTACACAACTGTGAAATAGATAACAAGAAATACGACCTTGTAATCACGCCTCATACACAAACAGTTGGATATATTAGAACAAAACGACAAACACTAAAAAGGAAAATCATAACCAAACAAAGACAAATAACACGAAAAAGATTTTCCAAAAACAGAAACGCATTTTCAGAATCAGAAGCCAGCAATTTAGACGAACTTTATAAATTAAAAGAATCAATTGATAAAAATTGTCCCATTCACGATCAATTATATTTTTCCGACTCAGAAACAACTTCAAATTCATCAAAAAGAGGAAAAAGAAGAATAAAAAAGCAATATAAACACAAACCAGTACACTTTTATAATTGGAATCAACCAATTAGACACATCGATAAATACCTATTAACAGTCATTAAACGAAAAAATGAGCCAAACACACACTCCAAGTGAAGATAGTCCAGATGATGACGATATCTTCCCCTTCCTCGTAGATGCACCCAATGATAGAGGACAGCATATATTTTGCAAGAATTTACTCCTAAATTTGTTTGAACCCGGAATCAGCCCATGTAAAACAGAGTTCCCAGATGTAAAAATCAAAAGACAAATTATTGATCACTATCTGAAAGATATATGTAATTTGACACAACACTACGGAATCTACACCATAGAATTCACCTCACCAAACCCGAATCACCGCAAATATGTAATTCAAACAGACGACCTTGATTTAGAATTTTCAAAAGTATTCTCAGAATATATAAAAAGCATTCAATATCATAACTCACAAAGAGCAAACTCCATATTTACTAATGAAGTTTTTGCAATAATATATAGTTATATCTCAATATTAGAAAACGAAATCCCAATCCCAAATGTCTCACCGACAGAGACATCTAAACATATAAGGGTACGACATGAAATCACACTATTTTCAACTTTCCTACATATAATTAAAGAAAATTTCACTAAAGATGAAGTTTCACAACATACAAAACATGACTTACAAAAAATTTTGGCATGGTTTATAATAGATTATTTCACACATAATATAGATTTAATTTCACAAGCAAGAAAAAATTTCAGACCTCAAAATTCAAACGATGATACCGCCATCACAGAACAGTCAGACTACGTTTGGGACCCCGATTGGTCTCATTATGCATTTATAAATATCCCACAATCAATTGCAAGTCAAGCTATAAGTACAATATCTTATACAAGAGATTATGTAAGAGTAGTACCATTAACCATTGATGCAACACCATTAAACTACAATACATTTCTACCTGATACGCGAAATAACAGCTTAAACTCGACCGTCATACACAATGAAAACCTTAATGGAACTAGGAATCTCACTCAACAAAATATTCAGACACCATCACACTTCATAAATGAAGAAATTGTCCAAACAACAACAACTACACAACAAAGTATTTCACCGATACGTCCAAATTTAACAACACCAAGAAATACAAACACTTCACTAGCACAGGTAACCTTACAATCAACCGTTAAACCTTCGGTTGCTCCAAAATATTCACACATGGATTATCAAACATATAGAACCATGACAATACCGTCAAAAACACGCAGAACGTTCACAAGAAATAATTTTGCGGAACACAATTATAATTATACACATTCATCAAAAACAAACTATCCTCCACGAAAAAATAATAATAATCAAATCAGATCTCGATATTGGGATAATCCAATGGCAACAACCAATTCAGTAAATTTTCAAACTAATTCACATCCTCCACAGGATCGTAGTGAAAATTACCCATTCTTTCAACAGAATAGAAATAAAAAAAAGGGCCTCATCTGACGGATTATTTATCCTCTGATGATGATTATTTACAACCAGATATATTTGCACCATATACCCAAGAATATCGCGGACAAGGAGTGCAGAAACCATATACACATCATAGAATTTTTTCTCCACACCAGATAGATACACAAAATCAACAACCAATACAAATGCAAAACCCAATTAATACACAATCTTTTCAACCAATTCAGCCACAAAACCCAATGATTACACACTCATATCAACCAACACAAATGCAAAATGAAATACCACTTCCCTATTATCTTCAACAACACGAAATAACAAAAAATCAACTTTCAAATTTTTCACAAATGCCAAATGCAGCAGAATCATTACAAATGACAATGAATCCATACCTTATGGGTGGATCATCAATAACATCAAACAAACCATTAATGGTATTCACAGGAACAGACCCTGAATATTCTGTAGAAGATTATTTAAATGCAGTAACAGCAAATTTAATTTTAAATATAGGACCTGAACCAATTAATACGCCACTACATCAAAACTGGATACATCGACGCACAGCGTTGATACAGACAACCTTAGACGGCGCAGCCCAAAAATGGTTTTCAGTATTGCCTATAGAAATAAAATCAAATTGGAAGAGATTTACACAAGAATTTTCAAAAATGTTTGACTCCGAAAGAAACAAACAACAACAAAGAGTTTTATGTAATGAAATTCGCAGATTACCAAATGAAACCATCAAACAATTAGCAGTACGTATCGAAACACTAGTTC